TAATGGAGTGGTTAGCCTATGCTTCTGATCCTCGTATCCTGACAGACATGAATAATCAAATGGGCAAGATGAATCTTCCCACATTCAGGGAGAACCGACATGACCAGACAGTGTTGTCTCTGCTATCAAAGAAATGGCAGCTAGATGAATTTCGAGATCCCAGCCAATATGGAAATGCTGACCAAAAAGATATTAATGCCCTTGGTCCATATGGACAACTTATTTTCCATACCAGAGATACAAGTTAATGTGTACATTTTTCAGAAAATATTATTACAACATTATTTATTGAACACTTGCTGTATGAAAATACACCTTAGTTTACATACTTTTTTGGATAAAAATTCTTGCAACACAGCCAGGCTGTGTATAGTCAAACAGCTAGTTTTACACTTACGCTTATGCTATACCACCACAAATTGCAATTGCATTGAAGCATTTTTCTTCCCTTCCTCACTTCAGTATTTGCTGTGCATAGAAAAAATGATAAATATTTATACACAGTCTCGTTTTCTCGTTCTGTCTTTTCTCATTTCCTGTCTTCTTAACCAGGGGGGGAAGTTATATTTTCTTTGCAACACCTGCAGGAGAAATCAAAGCGATTTTTTACCAGATTAATAATTTAATGCCCTTTTAAATCTCAAGTTAAACAATGCGTGTAAATGCAATCATTCAGAATTTGAAATCCGTGGGAAACGAAATTCACTACATTAAACATTTGCCTTTTTTGGCAAAGCAAAACACAGGAACTAAGGTCCCGTTTCCATGGTTTTCCGGTATGCTGAGTAACAGCACCGCCCAGATTTCTACTCTTCTCGAGCAATATAAGGTTTTGCATTTCACTATTGGTCTAGTCATTGGGAGAAATTTATCATGGATGGCAAAAATCACCAAGGTAAAGCTAATTATGCTTGAACAGTATACGTCAAAACAAAAATAGTACGTTGTCAATCTAGAAAATTTATGTTCCTATTGTTAGTAATTTATAAGATAAGAATTGACTAAAATTCCACAGCATACGTATCATAAACACAGTCATGTCGTGTTGTGTACACTGTATATATAGAATACAGTAGTTTTCACGCGTTACTTTATTTTCATAAACTAGGCGGAAAAGCGTATGGCGTCCTGAAAAGCAATCAAGAGACTAGTTTAGATGAAATAAATAAAGTATGTATCAGTTTTATAGTAAAACGTAATAGATATCAAAGCTTGTTGTTGCGATTTGCTTCCGGAAATCTAGATGCAGTTACAAAAGAGCAATTTACTGCAGAGAATGACTTTAACAGACTTTAACTGTCTAGCTTTATAAACTCTAGTATGTCTCCTAGGTTAAGCGGGCTTTGAAAAGTCAAAAGTTATACTAAATGTCGTTTGTTATTCTATTATTTTAAAGACAAACGGAAGCCCCTACTCCCTTAACGGGATATTTAAGGACGTATTTTTATCGTAGTCACGAGCTTTCTTGCGCCGTTTGCAGTATATTTCACGGGCGTTCAAACAAAGCTAGTACTCTTATGGTATTATGCAAGGGCCTAGAAATGGCTAGCTTTAAAACTTTGCGAAGGGACATTCGTACAATTGCTCCCTAACCCAGGCTGTTAGTCATAACGGCAATTATATAAAAGCTAGTTTTATAATCTGTGATGTGCGTTTTGCAGTCTTTTATTAACACTGGTGATTATGATGATGAAGAAGAATGGCCAGACATAGAGGGAACCTTGAACTCGTACAAACGTAAGTTTATTTTGCTTATATTGCGATCTGGTTTATATATAAACACACGCTGCGGATCCAATCAGGAAATCAGCAGGCCTCCTGCCTCCACTCTATAAAACACTTCACAAAATTTGAAATAATTGCTTTTGTTGTCATTTTTTGTATAACAAGTAACAACTCACTGAGATTGTAACAATTATATTCGTTTAGAGCAATTTATGGAATTCGACGAAGACAATTCCGGCGACATCGGTAGGTCATTATAAAAATATTTCATTTTTAAGCGTGTTTGGTTTACATTATGCTAATCAGGTCAAAGATATTAACTTTGTTATACTCTTATATGCATTATCAATTATATTAATCCTTTGTATGCCCGAAATCATTTTCCTTTTCAGTTCAGATCACAATAAACTATGGTCTGTAACATATGGGTCCATATAATTCATTTTCCTTTATATTATGTTACTAATTCATCATTTTAGTTTCAGATAAAATTTAATTTTTAAAGAAACTACAACTATAGTTTTGTAGTTAAATGCTACTTAGTTGTCAAAAAAAATAAAAAAAATGCAACCAGTTGCTAAGAATAGCTACTGCCTTTATGTTCATCAACAATAAACAGTTTCTCTTTTCAAAAGTGAAAGTTTTCATTTTTTGGAATTTCGATGAAAGTCAAAATATGTCAAATGTTCATAGAATTTTGTTAACAGACAATCAGAAATGTACTAATTTGGTGAAGAATCATTATGTGAATCATTTAATTTACAGTATGCAATTCCATTTGGAATCTGATACATTGGGTATTTTGGAAAGGCCCTCACTTGTCACAAATACATTTCTATAGTCTGTAGGAAAGGTGGGGAATAAGATGATTGTAAAATGTAGGACACTTGCACCCCTTGAACAACGCTAAGTGCATAATATGAAAAAATTTAAAGATATCATGGAGCTAAAACGTATGATGGAAAAACTTGGACAAGCAAAGACGCATCTTGAATTGAAGAAAATGATTGCTGAAGTTGATACTACAGATTCAGGTACCTTGTATGATATGCTAGCCTATACATTAGAGAATAATTTTAAAGTATTTTCCAAAGTATTTTTGAAAAACCTTCCAAAGTATTAAATGTAATTGCTATGCAGGGATAGTGGGCTCAAATAAAATCCAGCCTTACTGTTTATGGCATTTTCTTGCTGTAAGTAAATGCCCCCCAGTGGTCTACCTAAACTGATCTAAATACTTTCAACTGCTCAAACCTTTCTTCATTGAGATGTTTTAAATGTGTGTAAAATTTGAATATACATAGTGGGGCAAGTTAAGCGCTATTACACCATATAGTTATATAGCTATGATAACTTAACGTTACCTAATTATTCTCACCTTTTTTAGGAACTATCACATACGAGGAATTCTTGCATATGATGCTGGGGAAAAAGTCATCTATTTTGAAAAAGTAAGTGTCTAGATTAGCTATGTTTAGAGAAGCTTTGAACACATAATTACATTGTATTTTTTTAGGGATGGTTACATATCTATTTGTTACAATGTACAAACTTGTCCTGGTATACAATATACCTTATTGAAAAATATCTTTAACGTATTTAAAATGTGATGTTAAAGAATTGCATGGGACAACAGATAAGATGAATGCATGAATATCACAATTAAATGTAAATATTAATTACAAGATTTTAAAAATGTGGTACAAGTAAAAATTAATAAAAACTATGTCAAATTTCCCGTAGATACTGGTATATTTTTAGAAATTTGACTATCAGATATATCCAAGTCATTGACATTGCCAATTTTGGTTTACATAGTTTTTTCATATGACGTAATTCGTACATCACAAATTTGTATCATTGAACACGTGAACAACGGAAACATTTATTGAATTACATCACCTTACCCGTACCCTTAGTTTGAAACCGGGTCCCCTCTAATGTTAGGTTTTCAGTCAGCAGGGAATTGCAAACTGAAATACTGAATGGCTGTTTATTGGTATTTGGTAATACTAAACTTGATGAATGCAATTTTCTTAGGATCCTGATGTTCGAAGCTCTTATGAAGGAAAAAGAACGTCCAAAAGGAATTCCTCCAAAACGTGATTTATCAAGCTTGCCGTAATATTTTGATTGTGCAAGAGTAATTCGAAATTTTAACTCTTATAGTTTAGTTTTCTGCGATGACTAATTAAGAATTTTTTACACCTGGGTCCGGTTGTTCAAAGCTGGGTTAGCGCTAACCCTGGGTTAAATCTTACCCCGCTGTTTTAGTTTATATGCTTCTGCACCGCTGTTTGTTTCAAGGTTTTACAAAATAAGACTTTTATTGATCCACAAAATATTTACGAATAAACATGTTCAACTTCATAAACAAGTGATTAAAAAAATTGATGTGAAACCAAGTTAGCCGTGGGTTAAGCTAACAGGCTTTTGAACAACCGGCCCCAGGAAGGAAATTATTTTAAAACGTGCAATTTATATTTTTTAAAATAATATTTTTTATCTTCCATCGCGCCACAATTGTCATAATTCTTGTTATTGTTTTTGTATTGAAAGAGAACTAACACGATAAAATGATATCAATTGATTCAATTCTGCATCTGGATTAGTTTGAATAATATAAATTATCTTTTGATTATTTTATTCATTTCAGTGGAGACATCTTTTTCACGACACAAGTCAGATAGAATCAGTGGCGTAACGACAGGGTGTCAAGTCAAGTGACCTCCCGACAAAAATTACCATAAAAAATTAAATATTTGTGGAGAATAGAATTACTATCCACAGACATAGTATAGGCAGCTTATCAATCTTATGTTATTATGAGTTTTTGTAGGCGTAATCTCAGCGTAGGTTCCAGTAGGCGTAATCTCGGCAATAGGTTCCAGTAGGCGTAATCCCAGCGGTCGCGTTACGCCACTGGATAGAATTAACAAAGATTTTTTTAATTCCGTTAGGTTCTTTGAGAGAATTTTGTCTTCTGCGCAGAATACTCGAGCTCAGGTTACTCTATCCCAGGATTGCTAATGACTAACACACGGTGCAATCTCTCTCCTCCGCAGAGGCTTCGAATGCAAATGCGCTAGCTAAATTTTTAAAGATGAGGTGCAATTATTCCTGCAACTTGCAATGCAATTCTTCTTTTGAGAGATGTAAATTTGGCAACTACCAAACTTTTGTCTTTATTACACTCCATGGCGTTTCTTACACCTCAGTGTCTTACACTTACATTTTGAAGACTCTTAACTAATTTACATCTCTTCAAAGTAGAATTGCATTGGAAGTTGCAAGAAAAATTGCACCGTGTAACATGGCCTTAATTCAATCTCAATCGTCACCTGCGGCTGCTTTCGCCAGCAGATATTGTTTGCAGGGCATGCGGAAGTTCTCCTTCGTGTGAATTCGTGTACCTAAAGATCATATTTCATAAAAGTTTTATATTAAACGATCCGAATTGTTAACAAACGTAGTCAAACTCTGATAAGTTCAATACATGTCTGCATCAATTGCATTTGTGTTGTTCGGTGTGGTATTGCCTACCCTCGTACAAGGTAAGCCACTTTTGACAGTATCGAAACTAACTTAAAACATCCTTTTCAGACGTTAAGATGACGCAAATAAATACATTTTCACTAGATGATTGAAATCTGCGCATTTCCATTTGCAATATTTGGGATAATTATCAATATTTGGTATCTTAAACAATCCATAAGTGTCATTATAAAAAATGATGATTGAGCTAGACGAAACAGCTTATAAATACTCAGGCGTATTGAGTTTTATATATGTTATTTGAGTACTAGGACTCGAATTAGCCTTGACTCTGGTAGCTTCAACTTGTTATATTTCTATGATATTTTTTATTTAGTTAACTGATACAGCTACGCAACTTGATTACGGATTGTAGTTTGTAGCTTTGACTCCCCTTTAGAAATCATTTGCGTATTAAAAAACACTAACCATGCGACATGCGGTAGTAACTACGGGAAGTAAACTGTTGAAGGATCCAAAATAAAACTTATTCTGAAAATGGACATCTGCGTTCTTTATATTTCAGAATAAAACACCTTTAGCTACAACTACTCTTTTCTATCGTGTTACAATCTTAAAAACAGCTTCACTCGGCTCTCGCATTTATCCTGATCCTCGCAGTCTGTTTCGTGCTCTAGTCTTTTGTACAACTGAGCCGAATTGGTCCCTAGACTGGTCGCAGACTGAATTAGGGGGCCGGATAATTTAAGGGGTGAATTTTCTCCCTTTAATTTTCCGGCCCGCTAATTCAGTCTGCGAGCAGGCTAACCGATCACGGAAAGCCGGGAAGGCTAAGCCTAAGAAGAAGTCGATGATCTCCTGGTGTGAAAAGTCCCATTCACACATGTGTAGTTCACGTTAAAATTCCAGGTCATAATGTATTCTGCACATGTAAAATACGGCGTGGGAAACGGGACGAGTGTGGTGAACGTAGGTTTTTGGCATATTTAAGCTAAAGAAATACTTTAAGCTAAATATTTAAGCTAAAGAAATAATTTATAAGAAATAATCTTAATTAAAAGCTGTCACACTGCTCCTGATTATGATGAGGTAGCCTTACCTTTGCTCTTCAACGGTGGGCAAAGTTCTTCGTAAGATCTAGGAAGATTCAAGTCAAGCCCTGTGATACGAAACGTGATGATACTAGCCTGACCCTGCATGAGTTGAATCTTTCTCATCCAAACATTCTCTGAATTTCTCAGGTCAATATTGTCCAAGGACGATCAAAGAAGCCAACAATTACTGTGCACCAGGATGTACGCCTTTTAGGGGTTGTTCTTCCAGCAGAAGAGAATGTATATGTGACGGAGACTGTGGTTATAGTTGTATCAAGAGAGGTATTTATTAAAGTAATGGTTTGGAATTATGTGTATATAGTGTATATATAAAATAATCGCATTTTTTCGCTGCACAAATTGTTATCATTGCGCCACATGCATTTTGATTCAGTCGTGGTTAATGTTTTAAAATTATATAAAGGTTTGAGATGCAAGCATCCGGAACCCAGGACTCTCGCAAATGGCAAGATAGTCGTTAAGAGTCGAAAGTTTAACGACACAGCAATTTTCACATGTAATCCAGGATTTCTGCTTTCTGGTTCCAGTGTAAGGACGTGTCGTGGAATGGGAACCTGGGACGGAGAAGAAGCCAAATGTGGTAAATGAAAAAATATTTTTCTTTGGATTTACTTGTCTTTTATTTTTCATTTGATGCACTTATCATGATTGGTATCACTTAAAAAGTTGCCTTTTTCAAAAAACCCTGTGGCGAAAAAAGAGAAAATAATTGAAATCCTGTTGGAATTGAACGCACAGTCTGTTCTATGGCTGCACCCTCTTGCAAGCGCCCGGAACATGACATAAGATGTTTCTTGCAGGAAAAAACTGTGTTGATCCCGGAGTCTCAAGTAACACTTTACGACGTGAGCCAATCAGAAACACGAGCGAAGCGTTTAGGTTATCAGAAGTACTACACTATTATTGTAATGCTGGATATCTTATCGAGGGAAAAGACAGTATAACATGTCAAGCAGATGGAACATGGGACGGCAAGACACCGCAATGTTATCGTATGTATTAGTTATGGGTTTATATAACGTAGGATACGGTTACTGAAGTCATCTCGGCCTAAAAGGTCGATTATTGACGCTTCGGTGGTCGCAATTTTTCAGTTACCAGGTCTCGGAAAAGTTTGGTACGTCTCTGAAATATTTCACAATGGTAGGCTTTCTATTTCTATAGGTGTATCGTGTCCCCCACCAAAGCTTCCTGCTAATTCTGAAGTTTATTATCCATCTTGGTTTACCACATCTCAAGGAGCCAAACATAACAGTCGCATATTTCTAAAATGCAATCCAGGATATATGAAGTTGGGATCTTCCCAAGTAATGACGTGCCACAATCAAACATGGAAACTGCCCGCGTCATTTGAATGTTTACGTATGTAAAAATATCCCCTTACCTATTGTTAAACAATATAGAAAGAGCATTTTATTGTTCATAATCTCTCTGGGACCCTTCACCCCCAACTGAAACAATGTCGGGAAAACTTCGGGCCTTTATTATTTTCCGTTTCAAGTTTATCTTATTCTTCATAGCAAAAAACTGTGGCGACCCTGGCGTACCAGCAAATGGCGGCAAGAACGGATTAATTTATAATTTTAAAAGTAAAGTCACATTTTACTGCGACGAATGTTACAAACTCATCGGTGTTACTTATCGTGTCTGTAACGCAGATCAAAATTGGTCGGACGAACAACCTTCTTGCCAGAGTAAGAATGATATATTATATACTTATTATGTAGCAACCACATTCTAGGGTCTGGCTCTAAACCCTGTCGAACCTGCCTGTGACGTTCCCTCCACGCCGTCCCCCCACCTATTCCTATTATATATAGTTCTGCCAAATGCAAATAAATTGTGGGAGCTCTGCTTTACCCCTGAAATTAAACCGCGTCATAGCGGAATAACCTATAAATTCTGCAGGAGTCGAAACCAAATGCGAATCAATATCGAGCATTCCAAATGGCAAAGTTAGTCCCACCGGGAGTACAGAATGTGGTTCGAAGACCTATTTTTCATGCGACAAAGGTTATAATCTGATTGGAAATTCCCAAATCTCTTGTACCAAATATGGAAATTGGTCAGAAAAAACACCAAATTGTAAAAGTAAGTTTAATTTAAAACATGTTTCAATTCCCGAGGTTATTCTTATACATGCACGCTTTAAACGTTTGCGATTTTGCTTTGCCAACTCTTGTTTTTCGGTAAAATAAAAGTCATGAATCCATACTCAAATCAAATAACATGTATCGTTATAGCTTGTTTTAGAAATAAAATTAATGAAGCAAAACTTTTAGAGTTCATGTTATTCAATAATTCAATTGCATTCCAGTCAATTGCATATCGCAAAATTACTTTTCATTAATGGCATGTTGTAGTTGTTTCCTGTGAACGGTTTGCTATATCAAAGATGATACAGGCTAATGTGTCTGGTTACGAATATGGCTCGACAGCAAAGTTTAAATGCAAAAGTTCCGATTACGTTATGTCAGGAGAGAATTCTACTCTCTGCATGGAAAATGGTAAATGGTCAAGTAAAGTTCCAGAGTGCCTAGGTTTGTAATCCTACTTTGTCAATGAGAGTTTGAGTACAATATATATACCAATCTCATACCCAGGGTTCCCAGAGCACTGGGAGCGAAGATAGAACCCGGGATACGAGGTTGCAATTGGTTGCAATTATCCTATAGTCTTAATTCCTTCCTACAACAGCCAGCGATTCTTGGATATTTATGCATGATCTTTCCTTCTAGGTATATTGTCGTTTGTTAGTACCATTCGCTATCTTAATGAGGCTTCAGTTCTAATAAAAGGGTGATGAACATGGAATTCACCGAATTTTGAGCAGTACTATATATCGTCTAATTTTCATGTCAATTTTTGTAGATTGGTATCGAAAAAACTCCCCGGGTATTTGGGTTTCGTACAGTACACCCCCCTGACACGCCCTAAATAGTCAGTAAGCCTTGGTATGAGCTTAGAGGACGGCAGAAATTCTCGAGAAAGATATTTTGTATTTTTTTAGCCCCATGTCATGTCCCAAACGAGAATATACCGCAGCGAATCTATAGAAGTGGCAGCAGAGCAGAGTTGAAGTGTGAGAAAGGCTTCACTGTCGTTGGCACGGTCCATGGGAGAATGCCATTGTGTTCAAATGGAACGTGGATATTCAAATATGGGAGGATATTCCCACATTGTGAAAAGCAAACTGATGTGAGAAAGGAAAGAATTGATTTTCAAAGATCTCATTAAAAGTACTTTCTGGTAAAACTTGTGATAAGTGTTAAAGTAGAAACTAAATGCAGAGAGATCATGCAGACATTTAAAAACTGCTAATTAAGGAGTTCTAGTATGCTAAAGATCAATTAATTTTGATATCAGGTTTAACGAGCGTACAAAACGCTCATTTCATTTTCTGCTGGCTTCCTAATACATTATATGACATTGATGATTCATTGTAACCTTCCTCTTATAAATATTTAGTTGTATACGAATATAGAAGACCTCTGAAAATATGACATTCTAATAATATAATTACCCACTACTTTTTGTTTTCTTTGAGACGCCCTGTAGAACAAAGTTACAATTATTTCCCGACATTCCTAGGCGTATAAGTCGGTATGTTATACTTGGGCAGTCGCATATTCTGGTATGGTGCGATTAGAGTAGCTGATATGTTCCCAGTTTCATAAGATGGTGTATAATGGCGATGGTGAATTCCCACCTTCCGTGTTGTACCATTATAGACATTATCTTCGTATACGTGGTGTTCTGTCAGGTTTCCATTGGTGAGGAAGATACAATCCTCTGTCGGCGGACTTTGCCCACCAATAATTTCAAAGACATTCGCAGAATACGTGACGTTTTCATCCACACCAGCGAAATGTGGCTTGCTGTAATAAATACCGCTTTTTTGATGACCCTGGTTTGTCCGTTGCACGATATGGTTGCCATAGACTAAGACATTTTTTAGGCCCTTGTAAATAGTTACACCCTGATTAGCTATAATGTGCGTGTACATGAGAATTCCTGTATCATCGATATAGTTACGGGCAATGACAAGATTTTTGCCGTTTCTTGCTTTGATCCCTCCGCTGGAGTCACTGGGCCAGCCACGTGCATAGTTTTCCAGGAATTTCATACCATCAAATCCTTTTAAGTACACGACATGGTCATGTTTCAGTGATTTTGAATTTGGGCTGCCATTAAAGATATTCTTTTCAATTACAGAGTTGTTGCAGAAGCCACTGTATATTGAAGAGTTTAAGTAACCTTGGTCATCACGAAGACTCAACGCTGTCTTAAGATATATCAGCTTTAGCTTTAAATCTCTCCAGTAGGAATTGGAGTATACGATGTTGTCCATCCAATCTATTTTACTAAGATCAAGACCATAGATGTTGTTTCTTATTGCAATACCGTATGATTTTTGGATGTTCGTTGCAACACCAAATGCGTCTTCATCGCTCAAAAATACTGAGAACTCCAATGCGCTGTGAGACAAGTCTGTTGGATTGGTGACGTTTATTAAGGTGACGGTTTTTTTTTGTTTATTCCCAGGAATATTTCTTGAGAAGAAGACACAATGTGATACAAAGATCCAATGTTTTGCATGATTTTTGTGTCCGAATTTTAGGTTGACTCCGTGGAAAAACAAAGAATATACGTGAATCTGTCCACCAGCTTTAGCCAGAGTATTGCCTAACAATAATAACACATGAACCATGAACCTCGTTCCCATATTATTTGCCCTGCTAATTGATGATGGAAAAAGAAAAATGTCTGATCTTCATGTCGGAATTATCATGTATCGCTTTTTGCCCAAAATGGGAAACGTATTTCTACTATATTTGTTGTTAGGATAATTAAGGTGGCTCATTAAAATTTTGTTGAAATAGTTAAATGCACAATTTCATTATTAAACTGACAGAGGAATTCAGCGTCCAAATGTTTTGTTAGACATGCAGCCCAATAGCGAGTTGCTAATTAAAGGTATATATAGTTTATTAGTATAAACTTCGAGGTGACTATTGATTTTCCTGCATTCTGATTTGTCAAAATTCACTGTCTCTGAAGTGATATAGTTACTGGTCGGTGACTATAGGTTTTTTTATGGTTTTTTTTTCAAATAAGAAATTTGGAGTAATTATAATGTTTTATGAAATTGTGTTGAATATTATAATAGGGATGGATAAATTTTTACGTATGATGGGTCGGGTAATGCTAGAAAAAGGTTCGATGCGAAGTTGTTTTAGGCAAGAAATTACATGTCTGCACACTGAATATTTAAATCGTTCAGAAACAGTCTCAAACGGCCAAACCGCCGCATTAATGGTGACGTTGCAGCATTGAGAATTAAACCACCCCTATACAAATTATATTTGAGCTGCCTTTTGATTAACCTCTGGACGTTTTTGCCCTTCCCTCTCAACTTGGGATGCTTCCTAGGTATCTGTTAGTGTTTTCAAAACCACGCTAACGGTAATGATCAACTTTTACGAGCATTCATATACCTATTGTTGTAACACGAGTTGATGCTCCATTCTCAATGAGACTTATTCCAACTCGGGATCCACGAAGGCGTAGACTTTTTTTAATTATGACATCAGACGCGATGAGATATCTTCCAGGGGGAAAGAACAGTTTTTTCCGCTGCCAAATTGACTATCAATTATGGCCTGTAGAGCTCTTGAACAGTCTGTGTTCCTATTTTTGACAACCTGTGGTAAACCGAGGCCAGGATTTGTTACGTCAATAATGTTCTGTGCTCTGCGGTTCGGTAACGGGTCAGACACTGAGAAATAGCCTAAATAACAAAGAGCTATGATAAAACAGCTAACACAAAAAAGAGCGAATTTTCACCGAAATTCTCGATACAAAAAACTAACGCCTTTAATTCTATGATATGCGGTAAACTCACTGATGATCGAGTGTGTCGAACCAATTTCTGTACAAATCCTAAAAAAGATGCGCCACAGTGTTTTATTGCTTGATATCTTTTAAGAAATTTTATTGAATTAGTCACAATTCTTTCCCACTGAGAAACTGAATCATTAGTTAATCAAGATGACATACAGTGAACGCAGTAATTCACGATATCAGTGGTATTAGATTAAGGAATAAGGATCACTAATCTTACCCAAATAAAAGAACCATGGTGAAGAGAAGGAGGAAAGTATTTGCTGTTCGCTTATACATTTTGCTTTTCTTGATTCTCACATATGTTGTGTTTATTTCGAGATTCAATGGTTTTCTATTTAATTTATAAAAACACTGTAGTCACCGGTCAGAAATTTCATGTGGCTAGCGTTTTTCACTTGGTGATGACATCAGTCGTTGAACATTGTACAAGAACATTGGAAATACTTCCAAGGATACTATTGGCGTAATCCCACTAAATTTACGTATAGACAAATTGCCAAAATATCTTTTAAATTAAATCTTTCTTAAATAGCAATAGACGGGTGTATTCCTTTTAACTTCTACAAATTTTGTAGGAATCACGGCCTGCTTTACATTCAATGCAAAGCGAAGTATTTTCTTATTTTGCGATATTGATAAATTTGATTTTACTCATTAAATAAATAATAAAATAAGATGTAATAGTAATTTGCAACGATGGAGATCCTGCGTACAGATTAAGTAAAAGTTTAGTCCACTCATTACAAAATGTTGTGGAATCGCTTTCAAGCTTGGTAAAGACCAAGAGGCCCATCCAAATAAAGCCGGGTTTTCATTTAGCTGCACTCTCCTCCGCAGACCGCAGATTAAACTGAGACGCGGGTAGACAGGCAGAATTAGGTAATAGTAATTGTGGTGAACATTTCAAAAGTGGGTGCAGACGTACAGTATTCGAATATTGCTATGCGTGTGTGTGTGTGTGCTTCCCCCCCTCGTCCGCTTCGTCCGCTATGATTTCTGCTATTTATTGTTTTAAATAATAAGTCTCTTTTGAACGATAATCAGTAATGTTCACTGCTGCATGTATCAATTGTCTCACTTTCATCTGCATGTAAACTAATCAACGTTTCGTGGATGCAGGAGGAACTCCTGACAGATTACGAAGCACAACAAGCAGAGAACAAGTTGGAAGGTGAGCCGTGAGCGCACATGTAGTTTTCAAGGATCTACGATTCTCATATTTAGGGGACTTAAAGACCGAGTGCAAACGTGTTTTTTTTGTCATTTTTTCAAACGTTCTGTGGTTTAAGTGCCGTCAATTATATCTTCTTTTAAACTGTATTTCATGTTGTTCTACTAACTGTAATAACCAGCGAGTCTAGATAAGTCTTTACCATAAGAAGTTGTATTGCATTTTTCCATAAAATCCGCAAAATTAGTCTCGCCGGTATAGAATGTGGTTCGAAGGCCGATTTTTCATGCGACAAAGGTTATAATCTGATTGGAAGTTCACAAATCTCTTGCACCAAGTATGGAAATTGGTCAGAAAAAACACCAAATTGTAAAATAAGTTTAATTTAAAACATGTTTCGATTCCGGCTAAGATTATCCTTATAATGCACGCTTTAAATGTTTGCGATTTTGCTTTGCCAACTCTTGTTTTTCGGTAAAATAAATCATGAATCCATACTCAAATGAAATAACATGTATCGTTATAGCTTGTTTTAAAAACAAAATTAATGAAGCAAAACTTTTAGAGTTCATGTTATTCAATAGACCTTTCTTATAATGACGTCAAACGCGGAAAGTCTGATGTTACACGAAATTTGATTGCCTCCACAAAACTATCGAGCCAATCAAACGTGTAATATTAGACATTCCGCGTTTGACGTCATTATTGAAAAGGTCCATTGCAATCCAATCAATTGCACATCGCGAATGACTTTTCATTAATGGCATGTTGTAGTTGTTTCCTGTGAACGGTTTGCTATATCAAAGATGATACAGGCTAATGTGTCTGGTTACGAATATGGCTCGACAGCAAAGTTTAAATGCAAAAGTTCCGATTACGTTATGTCAGGAGAGAATTCTACTCTCTGCATGGAAAATGGTAAATGGTCAAGTAAAGTTCCAGAGTGCCTAGGTTTGTAATTCTACTTTGTCAATCAGAGTTTGAGTACAATATATATACCAATCTCATACCCAGGGTTCCCAGGGCACCGGGAGCGAAGATAGAACCCTGGATACGAGGTTGCAATTGGTTGCAATTATCCTATAGTCTTAATTCCTTCCTACAACAGCCAGTCTCGGCCAGCGATTCTTGGATATTTATGCATGATCTTTCTTTCTAGGTATATTGTCGTTTGTTAGTACCATTCGCTATCTTAGAGGCTTCAGTTCTAATAAAAGGGTGATGAACATGGAATTCACCGAATTTTGAGCAGTACTATATATCGTCTAATTTTCATGTCAATTTTTGTAGATTGGTATCGAAAAAACCCCCCGGGTATTTGGGTTTCGTACAGTACACCCCCCTGACGCCTAATCAGTCAGTAAGCCTTGGTATGAGCTTAGAGAACGGCAGAAATTCTCGAGAAAAATATTTTGTATTTTTTTAGCCCCATGTCATGTCCCA